TCAAATGATAGAGTTGGTAGATAGAGTTGAAAATATAGAAATATAACATAACAATTGTCAAAACTATTTATAAAGAAAGGATATACTTTACAATAAACAAACTATATATCATTAAGGGTAAAATAGACCTTTTCACAAAAACCTAAATGGATCTAATATACCCGGCTAGTTTGGAAAATACCCCAACTGAAAGAGAGAATCCGATTTAGCCCAACCTGGAGTGGATTCTAGGGAAAGGGTAGAGCCTCGCCTTGCAGGTGCCCAACCACTTCATTCGGAAACTCAATCAAAAGGAGATATGTTTGGCTAGTTTAATGTTTGGGGTGAGATGAAAAAAACTGCGACTAGTTAATTGAGTAATTTGTGATTAATAATGACATAATAAGTGTGATTTGTGTTCACAAATACAAGATTATGGCTCACAAAATGTGTCCTTGTGATGGTGACCTCGTATAATTTCATACTAATATGTGACCATAATCATAAAGTACACATTTATTGTGATTGTGACGTATTTGAAAGGGAAAATTACATAAATCCAGATATTTAAAAATAGGTCCAAAAATTATTTATTCAAAAATCAGGTATTATATTAAAACTTAATTGATAACCTTAATTTATCACTCTACTCCCTCCCCTCTCTCTCTCTCTCTCTCTCTCTCTCTCTCTCTCTCTCGCCTCCTCTTCCCTTCCCCCTCTCCGCCCTCTCTATGAATGGCGTGACGTCGAGGACGCAGCGTCTCGCCACCACGGAAGTAGACCGGAGCCTCTTCGCGCGGAGATGTAGCTGCTGCACTTTGCGACAATCTGCACCAGAGCCTCTGTGCGCGATCTGCAACTGCAACAACGATTTGCAATGGATCTTCGTTGGGGTGCTGGATATATGAGTGTGTGTGCCGTGGCATTGCGACAGGTGGGGGTGTGGTGGCAGTGACGGGTTTGGGATTTTTTGTTGGGTGGTGTGACGTAATTTGTTAATGGTAGTGCAATAGTAGTGGTGGTAGTTGTGATTTTTGTTGACAGTTGACTGGATTTGGTAGCGACGATTTGGTGGTGGTGATGTGGTGTTGGTGTCGGTGGTGGTGCTATCGTGGTGGTGGCGACAGTGACGGGGATGGTGGTGGATCTGGCTGCGACGAAGACAGGTGGATGCGGTGGCGATAGTGTTGGTGACGATGGTGTGTGACCACTATTTGGTGTATGTAACCAATTACTTAGTTATATGTGATCTACTATTTGATGATATGTGACCAAATATTTGGTAATCTGTGACAATTTACTCAACTGTGACCTAAAAATTTAGTAATATGTGACTCAAAAATAACTCATGACCAACTGATTTAAAAATCTATGACCGACAAATAAATTATGACTAATTAATTTAATAATATGTGACCAATAAATAAATTGTAACCTATAATTTTATATTTGTGACCATTAATTGTATAACTGCGACTTTATTATATTTAATTAATAAATGTATTTAATTAATAATTTATATATCTGAATTTGAATTTTCAAACTATAAATTTGATTTGTGACTTGGTGTAAACTATACACCTGATTTATGATTTTATCCCCTATTTGAAAAGAGAAAATTACCTCAAAACCTACATTTAAAGATTACATTTCAAAAAACAGGGAATTAAGTTTTATTTTCACAAATCAGGTGGTAAATAGGATTATTAATTCTAATTAATAAAAATTTAATCAATCATTCATCCACAAACCCATTCATTCTCTTTCTTCTCTCTCTCTCTCTACCCCCACCCAATTTCCGGCACCGCTGCTCGTGGTGGAGCAATCCCAAACCCGATTCATTCTCTTCCTTCCCTATATCCTCTCTCTCTTTACCACCCACTCCTTCCCCAGTATATACATCACTTCCGGCACCGCTACGTGCGGCAGCGGCTCTGCTCTCTGCTCTGCCGCTAGATCTGCTGCTATTAACCAGGAAATAAAGTGTGCTTTTGAAGATTACTGGTGAACTGTGGCTGAGGATGCTAGTGAAAAGGCTACTGCTTGTGCTGCAAGCAGTGTCGCAAGAAGTTGTCGGTGAAGAAGCAATCAGAGAGTGAAATCTAAAATTGTCCCAATTTTGTAATATTAGCATCTTTCTCCAATTCTTAATATTTTTTTTCCCTGAACTTAAGGATAACTTAATGAAACTCCTGTACAATCATTATGAACATGAAATCATTAATTGGTGACTTTTATTATTGCAGGTTTACTTTAAAGCAACAGATCCATTCAATGAGAGGTGGCAGAGTGCCTGGATTATCAAGTACCATCATTATGAACATGAAATCATTAATTGGTGACTTTTATTATTACAGGTTTACTTTAAAGCAACAGATCCATTCAATGACAGGTGGCAGAGTGCCTGGATTATCAATGCTTTCTGGGACATTCTTGCATTTTCCTTGCTCTGTGTTATCTGTTATCTCTGGGCACCATCACAAAGCTCCCAGTGGTAGGTTTACAATGACACGTTCTCTGAATTATATTTTATTTTTTCATTTTATTCTGTGGAACTATTTTTGCTCAATTTTACAATAACTCCCACCAGTTATGCATATTCGGACGGCAAGGGAGATGAGATCGAGGATGAATAAAACCGAATCCTTATGTAGAGAAACTTCGAAAGGTATCAGTTTTAGTAAAACAAGATAGGAAGGATCTGATCCAGAAGAAGAAACCGAAGAGGGTAAAAGGGAATGAATCTTCAATATTTTTTTCAGATCATCTCATGCAGAGGTCTAAACACACAGAAATCATTGGCAACAAGAAAGGGAAAAAAGCAACTGACAACAAGAAAGGGAAAAAACAATCTGCAGACACCACCAAGTTTTAGAAGTGTAGGTAAAGGGTGAAAGCACATGGTTCCTAGTTTTGTAGAGGGAAAAACTGTGTAGTTCATTATTCTAATGGCAACCATGCATTTCACATTTCATATTTCAATTGATTTGCAGGGAAAATGATGAAGATTGATTGTAGTGGCCTCAGCCCCTCTTAGTGCAATGAGATTTCGATCAAATATGTGTCTATTGTGACTTGTTGTGACCGATTGTGATTGTTTGTGACCAATTGTGACTGGCTAATTGTGACTCGTTATGACCAATTGTGACTGGCTAATTGTGACTCGTTGTGATCAATTGTGATCGGTTGTGACTTGAAATTCTGAAAATTTTTGGGAAGTTGGGTATGGGTGGATGGGGTGTAATTTCCAATTTTTAATTTTCTGAAAATTTTTAAGTCGCTAGAGCGGCCGCCATAGTGATGGCCGTCTCCAGTGGAGAGATGTAGGGAATGTGGTATAGTGAAATGATATGATGAGGTAGGTGATATGGCATGAGTAGAAATAATTAATATATATTATAAGTTTGTTATTTATGAAATATGATCTTTAAAAATAGGAATTATGTATTGTTCCCATTTGAAAACTACAAGTAGCCGGCCCAACTACCTACAAAGCCCACTAAAGATATTAGCCGAAGTCGT